TTCCTTGGATCCGCGCTGGGCCCCCCGGCGGCGCCTCCGGCGCCGCCCCTGGCGCGCTCCGCGCGCCAGGGGGTCCAGCGCAGATCCAAGAAGTCCGCGCGCGGAACGCAAAAAGTATGTGTCTATGGCGTTTTTTTCTTCTTCTGCCTTCATCGTCCTCCACCACTCCCCTCAGTCTCTGGTGCCGCCTTGTTTCACCTCACTAATCTAGGGCTGGACGAAAGGGGGGGATAGGGAAAGGGGGGGGTACGAAATCTGCTGCATGCGGCGCCTCTGGCGCCGGGAGGTGCCGGGAAAATCAGCTACGTGAGCTGATTCTCCCCCTCCCCCCCTTCGCTATCCTGACCTTCCAGGAGGGCTGAAAAACAGCACCAGGACCTCGACATCTTAATTCCAGTCGAGGTTTTAGGCAGCCCAGATAGGTCCATAGGTCCTTGAGTGCTATTTTTGAGCACTCTGGAAGGTCAGGGTATTCCCCCCCCCTTCCGCCCGGCCCGATGCTCACACACGCCCGCACTTTTCCCGGGGCCGCGGCACTGCCCTGCAGGCCCCACCCCCTGCGGGCTCTCGAGAGGCGGGCCGTGCCCGCGCGGGGTCCCGCGGTCTCCCCGTACCTCCTCCTCCCAGTCTGCTCCGCCGTGTGCCTCGCGGTGTTGTGGTGGGCGCCAGCGCGATCCGTCCCCGCGTCAGTTTCGTTGGAACCCGACATTCCCGTCCCCGTGCTCATATCCCCTTCGAGGCCACCACCAAGTTATCCCCCCCCTGGTTGGGGAGGCATCCCTCGAAGCCCGAAGGGAACGACCTATATATCCCCCATCTGGGGGGGGGGAAAGCGGCCAGTGGGGCCCAGGCCACGCCGCAGGGGATGGGGATCGGTTCAACGATAAAATCATCACGGCCAACCCGCACGGTAAGGGTGGGCAGCTTTTTCCCGAGGGTGCCCCTGCATCCGTGCCTCCGCTCGGCGCATGGCCGTTCCTGCCTGCCTGTCCCGGGATCCCGCCAAGGGGGGGGGTGTGCCCCATGGTGTGTGTGAGAGAGAGAGTTCGATCTTTTTGCACCGAGCCGCCAAGAACAGATGCCCCCCGGCCACCCGCAGCTCTCGACAGTTACCAATCCATGAGGGGCGTGCGGGGGGCACCTGTTTTCGGCAGTTCGGTGCAACAGCGGATCGAATTCGCCCTCTCAGGGTCCCCCCCCCTTTTTGGCGGATCCCGACTGTCCGCCCCTCGCGGCCGTGGCGCCGCCGCCGCGCCCGCTGCCCTCGCGGGCCTGGAGTCTGCCGCTCTCCCCGACGCGCCCCGCGCCCTGGAGGAGCCCGCGGCGCGGCCCGAAGTGGCCGCTGCCTGGCCGACTGGCGTGGAAGACCCCGGAACAACCCAAGGCAAGCTGCAAAACCATCTGGGAACACCGAGCCCCGACCGCGATGTGCTCGCGACCGTGCTCGACGCCCGCGACGGGATGGAGAGGGCACACTCGGCGAGGAGCGAGGGGGGAAGCGAGAAGGAGAAGGCCTTCTCAGAAGGCGGCGGGGCTTCTCAGAAGCCCTCGCGCCTTCCGAGAGGCTTAGCGGTGTCTTCGGGGGAGGCTCAGAGAACTTCTCGGAAGGCCGGGGGACTGCCGAACCTTCCGAGAAGGCCTTCTCCTTCTCACTTCCCACCCCCCTCGCTCGCCGCCGAGAAAAGGAGGGAGCGGAGCCTGGGTCGTCTGGACCGCCGGTGCGACCCCCCCCCAGCGTGGCTGGGCCCTGGCCTCGGGTGTCCCTCTTCGGGCCTCCTGGAAGCTTCTCTCGTCGCCAAGGCCGGATCCGCCTCGGACGACGGGTCCAGGTGGACCCTGGGAGGCGTCCCGGGCCGAGGGGTCCCGGGCCGATTTTGAGCGGACGTGGGCCGGTCGTTCCGTATTCAGCGCTCCTGCGGTAGCACGGTGATTGTAAGCGGGATGGGAGTTCAGGTCGCCCACAGGGGCGCGAGGATGACCGCGCTTCGCGCGTCGCGACCATTTGCCATGCTTCCAGGGGGCGGCGAGCAGGCGCGGTGGCGCGGAGATGGCAGCGCGTCGCGGGGCGCGGTGCACGAAGGTGGGTGACCCAGACCACAAGGAGGGCGGAGTGGGAGTTGTCCCCGCAGGCGCGGGCAGGAGTCAGGGGCTGCTCTGGATCCTGTCCTCGACCATCAAGACCTGGACAGGTGACCGCCGCAGGCGCCGATGTGTTGAAGCGCAGCTACTGTGGAGGACGCCTGCGGCGAACAACCGCCGCCCCCTGCCTCTTGGACACTCCAATGTAGCCAAGCGTTGGGGCACAGTCTGGCCAAGCTATTGATCGACTTGCTCCCCCAGCCATTGTTGGAGGAACACGTGGAGGAGGAGGCAATTTAGGTGCTCGCGCCATACCTGGCATCCTACCCCACCCCCCCCTCCCTTCACATTAAGCTGATGACTGTATCCGCCGAAACGTGCAATAGCGGACCTGGAATTGCTAAAAGGGGTCCCATCGTAT